GTGGTGAGGGCTGGGCAGAGTGGGTGGTGGTGCCCCCCCCCTCCCCCCGGAATTAAGGGCACACTGCGGTAACGATATTCAGCGTCTAGCACAAAAAGGCTTTATTGATACAACCCAATTAAGTTTGAATGGGCAAAGTTTGTCGTGTAAGTTCCAGTTCCTACTCAATTTACCTGCACTAGATTATCGGATAAATACAGTGAGGAGGAGGTAGTAGGAGAGGGCAGGGGGGACGTAGAGGGGGGAGGGAGAGGAGGGAGAGTAGAGGGAGGGGGAGAGAGTAGTGGACTGAGAAGGGAGAAGTGTGGCAGGGAAGGAAGTTTTCCCCTGCCCCTTTCCCTGCACTTTTGCGTGTCCACTACTTTAACCACTAGGCCACAATGACTGTTCAAAAGGATTGGAAAATGTCAGACCTTTAACCCAATCCCCGACAGCACTTGGTGACCATTTTTGGCACAGATATTTCATCAAACCACCTCAACATGTTGGGGCAACAGAAAACTCCTCAAGGATTCGAACCCAGACAGCTAGGGCTCTATGCACCTCGGCATGTCCAATACTGTACCACTAAAGTACAGGCCACTAAAGTAAAGGCACCCCAGCAGGGTGAGGTGGTGTGATGAAATATATTTGCCCAAAAAGATCACAGAATGGTGCTGGGGAATGGGTTTGAGGTCTGACGACTTCCAATCCTCTTGAACAGTGAGTGTTTAAAGTACACTCCTGGTTCAAATGCTGGACACGCCTAAGTGCATAGAGCCCTTGCTCTCTGGGTTCGAATCCTTCAGGGGTAAGGAATTTTGTGTTGTATAGTAGCCTGGAGACTATTGAAGCTGGTTCGCGCGTGCACACACACACACACACACACACACACACACACACACACACACACACACACACACACACACACACACACACACACACACACACACACACACACACACACACACACACACACGCACACACACACACACACACACACACACACACACACACACACACACACACACACACACACACACACACACACACACACACACACACACACACACACACACACACACACACACACACACACACACACACACACACACACACCACACACACACACCACACACACACACACACACACACACACACACACACACACACACACACACACACACACCACACACACACACACACAACACACACACACACACACACACACACACACACATACACACACACACACACACACACACACACACACACACACACACACACACACACACACACACACACACGCACACACACACACCACACACACACACACACACACACACACACACACACACACACACACACACACACACACACACACACACACACACACACACACACACACACACACACACACACACACACACAAGGATACTAAAAGAAGCAGCGCAGGCCCTCAGTGTGCCACTGGCAATGATCTTTAATGAGTCACTTATGTCGGGAGAATTGCCCAGTTGGTGGAAGAAGGCAAATGTCGTACCGATCTTCAAGAAAGGTGATAGGGAGGAGGCACTTAACTATAGACCTGTATCACTGACAAGCATCCCCTGTAAAATACTGGAAAGAATAATTAGGCTACGACTGGTTGCACACCTGGAGAACATTAGGTTTGTGAACAAACACCAACATGGGTTCTGGACAGGGAAATCATGCTAACAAACCTTCTGGAATTCTATGATAAAATAACGAGGATAAGACAGGACAGAAATGGTTGGGCAGACTGCATATTTCTAGACTGCCAAAAAGCCTTTGATACAGTACCGCACATGAGACTGCTATACAAACTTGAGAGGCAGGCAGGAGTGAGCGGAAAGGTCCTAGCATGGGTAAGGAACTACCTAACAGGAAGGAGCCAGAGAGTAATGGTAAGGGGCGAGAAGTCAGACTGGCGAACAGTAACGAGTGGAGTACCTCAAGGATCGATACTGGGACCAATTCTATTTCTAATTTACTTAAATGACATGTTTACAGACTTCAGGAGTAGAATCCTACATGTCAATGTTTGCGGATGACGCAAAATTAATGAGAAGAGTTGTGACAGATGAGGATTGTAGGATCCTCCAAGAGGACCTGAACAGGTTACAGAGATGGTCAGGGAAATGGCTACCGGAGTTCAACACGAGTAAATGTAAAATTATGAAAATGGGACTAGGTGATAGGAGACCAAAGGGACAGTACACAATGAAGGGGAACAGCCTACCTGTGACGACGCGAGAAAGAGACCTGGGCGTGGACGTAACACCTAATCTAACTCCTGAGGCACATATAAATAGGATAACGACAGCAGCGTACTCTACACTGGCAAAAGTTAGAACATCATTCAGAAACCTAAGTAAGGAGGCATTTAGGGCGCTTTACACTGCCTACGTGAGGCCAGTCTTAGAGTATGCCGCCCCATCATGGAGTCCCCATCTGAAGAAAGACATAAGGAAACTGGAAAAGGTTCAGAAGTTTGCAACGAGACTCGTCCCAGAGTTTCGAGGGATGGGATATGAAGAGCGTCTGAAGGAACTGAACCTTACGACACTGGAAAATGAAGGGAGAAGGGGGATATGATAGGAACGTATAAAATACTCAGGGGAATTGACAAAGTGAAAATAGATGAAATGTTCACACGGAATAATAACAGAACGAGGGGACATGGGTGGAAGCTGGAAACTCAGATGAGTCACAGAGATGTTAGGAAGTTTTCTTTTAGCGAGAGAGTAGTGGAAAAATGGAATGCACTTAAGGAGCAGGTTGTGGAAGTAAACTCTATTCATAATTTTAAAACTTGGTATGATAGGGAAATGGGACAGGAGTCATTGCTGTAAATAACCGATGGCTAGAAAGGCGGGATCCAAGAGTCAATGCTCGATCCTGAAGGCACAAATAGGTGAGTACACTCACACATTCCTCTCAATGTTTACTGATGATGCAAAAATTACGAGAAGAATCAAGACAGATAAAGATAGACAGAGACTAAAGGACGACCTGGACAAACTGGAGGAATGGTCTAGAAAATGGCTTCTAAAGTTTAACTCAGGAAAGTGTAAAGTAATGAAATTAGGCGAAGGGAGCAGGAGGCTGAACACAAGGTACCATCTGGGAGGTGCCTCAAGCACTCTGAAGGCATACTCGCCGCCCTCAAGCACTGAAGGCATACTCGCCGCCCTCAAGCACTCTGAAGGCATACTCGCCGCCCTCAAGCACTCTGAAGGCATACTCGCCACCCTCAAGCACTCTGAAGGCATACTCGCCGCCCTCAAGCACTGAAGGCATACTCGCCGCCCTCAAGCACTGAAGGCATACTCGCCGCCCTCAAGCACTGAAGGCATACTCGCCGCCCTCAAGCACTGAAGGCATACTCGCCGCCCTCAAGCACTGAAGGCATACTCGCCGCCCTCAAGCACTGAAGGCATACTCGCCACCCTCAAGCACTGAAGGCATACTCGCCGCCCTCAAGCACTCTGAAGGCATACTCGCCGCCCTCAAGCACTGAAGGCATACTCGCCACCCTCAAGCACTGAAGGCATACTCGCCGCCCTCAAGCACTCTGAAGGCATACTCGCCGCCCTCAAGCACTGAAGGCATACTCGCCACCCTCAAGCACTCTGAAGGCATACTCGCCGCCCTCAAGCACTCTGAAGGCATACTCGCCACCCTCAAGCACTCTGAAGGCATACTCGCCGCCCTCAAGCACTGAAGGCATACTCGCCGCCCTCAAGCACTGAAGGCATACTCGCCGCCCTCAAGCACTCTGAAGGCATACTCGCCGCCCTCAAGCACTCTGAAGGCATACTCGCCACCCTCAAGCACTCTGAAGGCATACTCGCCGCCCTCAAGCACTGAAGGCATACTCGCCGCCTCAAGCACTGAAGGCATACTCGCCGCCCTCAAGCACTGAAGGCATACTCGCCGCCCTCAAGCACTGAAGGCATACTCGCCACCCTCAAGCACTCTGAAGGCATACTCGCCGCCCTCAAGCACTCTGAAGGCATACTCGCCACCCTCAAGCACTCTGAAGGCATACTCGCCGCCCTCAAGCACTGAAGGCATACTCGCCGCCCTCAAGCACTCTGAAGGCATACTCGCCACCCTCAAGCACTCTGAAGGCATACTCGCCGCCCTCAAGCACTGAAGGCATACTCGCCGCCCTCAAGCACTGAAGGCATACTAGCCGCCCCCAAGCACTGAAGGCATACTCGCCGCCCTCAAGCACTGAAGGCATACTCGCCACCCTCAAGCACTCTGAAGGCATACTCGCCGCCCTCAAGCACTCTGAAGGCATACTCGCCGCCCTCAAGCACTGAAGGCATACTCGCCGCCCTCAAGCACTGAAGGCATACTCGCCACCCTCAAGCACTCTGAAGGCATACTCGCCGCCCTCAAGCACTGAAGGCATACTCGCCGCCCTCAAGCACTGAAGGCATACTCGCCACCCTCAAGCACTGAAGGCATACTCGCCACCCTCAAGCACTCTGAAGGCATACTCGCCGCCCTCAAGCACTGAAGGCATACTCGCCGCCCTCAAGCACTGAAGGCATACTCGCCACCCTCAAGCACTGAAGGCATACTCGCCACCCTCAAGCACTCTGAAGGCATACTCGCCGCCCTCAAGCACTGAAGGCATACTCGCCGCCCTCAAGCACTGAAGGCATACTCGCCACCCTCAAGCACTGAAGGCATACTCGCCGCCCTCAAGCACTGAAAGCATACTCGCCGCCCTCAAGCACTGAAGGCATACTCGCCACCCTCAAGCACTCTGAAGGCATACTCGCCGCCCTCAAGCACTGAAGGCATACTCGCCGCCCTCAAGCACTGAAGGCATACTCTCCACCCTCAAGCACTGAAGGCATACTCGCCGCCCTCAAGCACTGAAGGCATACTCGCCGCCCTCAAGCACTGAAGGCATACTCGCCGCCCTCAAGCACTGAAGGCATACTCGCCGCCCTAAAGCACTGAAGGCATACTCGCCGCCCTCAAGCACTGAAGGCATACTCGCCGCCCTCAAGCACTGAAGGCATACTCGCCGCCCTCAAGCACTGAAGGCATACTAGCCGCCCTCAAGCACTGAAGGCATACTCGCCGCCCCCAAGCACTGAAGGCATACTCGCCGCCCTCAAGCACTGAAGGCATACTAGCCGCCCCCAAGCACTGAAGGCATACTCGCCGCCCTCAAGCACTGAAGGCATACTAGCCGCCCTCAAGCACTGAAGGCATACTCGCCGCCCTCAAGCACTGAAGGCATACTCGCCGCCCTCAAGCACTGAAGGCATACTCGCCGCCCTCAAGCACTGAAGGCATACTCGCCGCCCTCAAGCACTCTTGAGAAGATGGTAAAGATTCCACTAACGAACCAAGAGAACCAGAGGAGAAAATGGCGGCCAGCGTCAATTACCGGCCGCCTCAAAACTGATAACGGAGCACAACCGGTTAATGAGCTTAACGAAGCTCCCAGCTGTAGCGGGGTGTCTCAGCTCCCAGCTGTAGCGGGGTGTCTCAGCTCCCAGCTGTAGCGGGGTGTCTCAGCTCCCAGCTGTAGCGGGGTGTCTCAGCTCCCAGCTGTAGCGAGGTGTCTCAGCTCCCAGCTGTAGCGGGGTGTCTCAGCTCCCAGCTGTAGCGGGGTGTCTCAGCTCCCAGCTGTAGCGGGGTGTCTCAGCTCCCAGCTGTAGCGGGGTGTCTCAGCTCCCAGCTGTAGCGGGGTGTCTCAGCTCCCAGCTGTAGCGGGGTGTCTCAGCTCCCAGCTGTAGCGGGGTGTCTCAGCTCCTAGCTGTAGCGAGGTGTCTCAGCTCCCAGCTGTAGCGAGGTGTCTCAGCTCCCAGCTGTAGCGAGGTGTCTCAGCTCCCAGCTGTAGCGGGGTGTCTCAGCTCCCAGCTGTAGCGGGGTGTCTCAGCTCCCAGCTGTAGCGGGGTGTCTCAGCTCCCAGCTGTAGCGGGGTGTCTCAGCTCCTAGCTGTAGCGAGGTGTCTCAGCTCCCAGCTGTAGCGAGGTGTCTCAGCTCCCGGCCTCCCAAGTGCTGTGAGGTATTTAACCGTTCTAATCACAGACACACACACACACACGCACACACACACACACACGCGCACACACACACACACACACACACACACACACACACACACACACACACACACACACACACACACACACACACACACACACACACACACACACAAACAAACAACGAGAAGGAGTATGATGACAGCAACAAGACATGCATAGATGAACTGCAGAAGGCAGCAACACTAGCCCACAGAATGAGAGCGAAGCTGATGATCATGGGGGACCTAAATCATGGAGAGATCAATTGGGAATCAAGGAATCCCCATGGTGGGTGGAAAACTTGGGGAGCAAAATTAGTAGATGTTATAGACAGGAATTTCCTGACACAACATGTGAAGGAAGACACAGGAAAAGAGGAGGGGATACGCCGAACCTATTAGACCTGATCTTCACCCAGAATGTAGAAGACATCGAGAATTTGGAGCATGAAATACCTTTAGGAAGCCAGTGACCATTGTGTCCTAGTCTTTGACTACATGATGGAATTCAAACTTGTGACCAAGGGACAAGAGGTCTGGGAAAGGAGAGCTGACTACAGCAAAGGGGACTATAAGAGGATAAGGGACTATCTGGGTGAAGTACAGTGGGAGGAAGTAATTAGAGGAAAAACAGTGCAAGATATGATGAACCAAGTCATACGGAAATGCCAGGAGGCTGAAGAGAGATTTATTCCAACAGTAAAGGAAAAAAGCAGGAGGGAATATAATAACCCATGGTTTAATAGACAGTGTCAGGAAGCAAAGATGAGAAGCAGGAGGGAGTGGAGGAAGTACAGAAGACAAAGTACAGAGGACAACAGGATCAGATGCAACAGAGCTAGGAACGATTACATTAACATAAGACGAGTGTCGCTAAGAAATTGAGAATGATATTGCAATAAAAGCGAAAAAGCAACCTAAATTACTACACAGCCATATAAGAAGAAAAATGTCAGTAAACGACCAAGTGACAAGACTAAGGAAAACAGAAGGGGCATATACAGAAAGTAACAAGGAAATCTGCGAGGTACTGAATGCCAGTTTCCATGGAGTGTTCACAATCGAGCCTGAGCAGCTCCCATTGTTAGAAGAGATTGCCCTAGATGAAAGACTATCAGATATAGAGGTGACAGCAGTGGAATTAATGAAACAGTTGACAACTCTAGATGCAACTAAAGCGGTTGGACCAGACAAAGTATCACCGTGGATACTAAAAGAGACAGAGCAGGCCCTCAGTGTGCCACTGGCAATTATCTTTAATGAGTCACTTATGTTGGGAGAATTGCCCAGTTGCTGGAAGAAGGCAAATGTTGTACCGATTTTCAAGAAAGGAGATAGGGACGAGGCACTTAACTATAGACCTGTATCACAGACAAGCATCTCCTGTAAAGTACTTGAAAGAATAATTAGGCTACGACTGGTTGCACACCTGGAGAACATTAGGTTTGTGAACAAACATCAACATGGGTTCTGGACAGGGAAATCATGCCTAAAAAACCTTATGGAATTCTATGATAAAATAACAAGATAAGGCAGGACAGAGAAGGCTGGGCAGACTGCATATTTCTAGACTGCCAAAAGGCCTTTGATACAGTACCGCACATGAGACTGCTGTTCAAACTTGAGAGGCAGGCAGGAGTAAGCGGAAAGGCCCTAGCTTGGGTAAGGAACTACCTAAGAGGAAGGAGCCATAGAGTAATGGTAAGGGGCGAGAAGTCGGACTGGCGAACAGTAACGAGTGGAGTACCTCAAGGAACGGTGCTGGGACCAATTCAATTTCTAATTTACGTAAATGATATGTTTACAAGAGTAGAGTCCTAAATATCAATGTTCGCAGATGACGCAAAGTTAATGGGAAGAGTTGTGACAGATGAGGATTGTAGGATCCTCCAAGAGGACCTGGACAGATTGCAGAGATGGTCAGAGAAATGGCTACGGGAGTTCAGCACGAGTAAATGTAAAGTTATGGAAATGGGATCAGGTGATTAGAGACCAAAGGGACAGTACACAATGAAGGGGAACAGCCTACCTGTGACGACGCGAGAAAGAGACCTGGGCGTGGACGTAACACCTAATCTATCTCCTGAGGCACATATAAATAGGATAACGACAGCAGCGTACTCTACACTGGCAAAAGTTAGAACATCATTCAGAAACCTAAGTAAGGAGGCATTTAGGGCGCTTTACACTGCCTACGTGAGGCCAGTCTTAGAGTATGCCGCCTCATCATGGAGTCCCCATCTGAAGAAAGACATAAGGAAACTGGAAAAGGTTCAGAAGTTTGCGACGAGGCTCGTGCCAGAGTTACGAGGGATGGGACATGAAAAGCGCCTGTAGGAACTGAACCTTATGACACTAGAAAAAGAAGGGAGAGAGGAGATATGATAGGGACATATAAAATACTCAGGGGAATTGACAAAGTGGAAATAGATGAAATGTTCACACGTAATATTAAGAGAACGACGGACATGGGTGGAAGCTGGAAACTCAGATGAGTCACAGAGATGTTAGGAAGTTTTCTTTTAGCGAGAGAGTAGTGGAAAAATGGAATGCACTTCAGGAACAGGTTGTGGAAGCAAACTCTATTCATAATTTTAAAATTTGGTATGATAGGGAAATGGGACAGGAGTCATTGCTGTAAACAACCGATACTCGAAAGGCGGGATCCAAGAGTCAATGCTCGAGCCTGCAAGCACAAATAGGTGAGTACAAATTGGTGATTACACACACATGATCACTACCTATAAAATTATAGAATGAATTGACGGGATAGATATAGATAAACTGTTTAACTCGAGTGGTACGGGAACAAGGGAACACAGGTAGAAACTTAGTACCCACATGAGCCACAGGGACGTTAGAAAGAACTTTTTCAGTGTCAGAGTAGTTAACAGGTGGAATGCATTAGGCAGTGATGTGGTGGAGCCTGACTCATATTCCCATTGTAACACTTCCTTCCCCCCATCCCTCACCTGCCTCTCCTCTCACCCTTCCCCTCACACCCCCCCCCCCTCTCCCTCCCGTCCGCCAACTTTTTTTTTTTTTTTTTTTTTTTTTTTTTTAGTAAAGAGGAAGGAGAGGCATAGGTGAAGGGAAGTATAGAAGTGGGAAATACAGTGAGAGGTATGAAAGCAGGCGGGCTGTCCGCCTTGCTGACACGATGTGTGGGTGTTGGCAGCTAAGCTAAGCTGGCTCCCTCTTGTCAGGGAGCTGTGAGTGTGTGAGAGGTTCTTCACATGTGTTTCACCATATATGGATGTCTATAGATGAATACTGTGTAGCATTCATATATAC